GTCAGTATGCCTAACAACTTCCTGCTTACATTTCTCCTTTGCCTTTCCGTCTTACATTTTGGTGTCTCCCTCTGTGAATCCTTCTCTGACCTCCACTTAACATCAGTTATTATACTATAGTCTCTCACACTTTATTTTCAATTCTTACAGCATGTCTCACCAATTATAGATCATGGTTTTCTGTTCCTTTTCTTAACTCTAAATTTGTAATTCCATGAGGTCAGAAACCATCATTGCATTTCTAAGGTCTAGCATCAGAATAAATAATAAAGATGACTTTTTTCTTTTTTTTTTTTAGGAAAAAGAAGCAAAACTTTCAGTACTTATTTTCTTTATCTCAATGGTGTTTTCATCTAGTAACCTGTATCCAATGGCTCTTTTTTTTTTGTAACGTTTGTTTTTAAGAGAGAGAGAGAGAGAGAGCATGTGCGACTGGGGGAGGGGCAGAGAGGGGGGAGACACAGAATCTGAAGCAGGCTTTAGGCTCTGAGCTGTCAGCACATAGCACAATGTGGGACTCAAACCCACGAAGCACAAGATCATGACCTGAGATGAAGTCAGATGCTTCACCGACTGAGCTACCCAGGTGCCCCTCCAGTGGCTCTTGTAATACTTGGATGCTATTCCCAAATAATTGGTTAATCAAGGCTTCTAAAATTATCCAAACTTAAGCTTACATGCCTCATTTAATACCTTGAGCAAATAAGATTTCTCACTACTTTAAGGTAGTAACACTGGGCTTTAACTCTTGGTACCCACCCCATTTCTGCCCACCCCTTTTGGATTACTACAAGAAATCTTTCCATGTTTTTATCCTTCTAGAATCTGGTCTTAAAGAGGATCTGTAGAATAGTAAATAGGAACAGTAATATGTTGTGCTGTATTGTGTCTAATTCTTAAACCTTAAAATCCATATATAGTTCAGTAGTAAACTTATAAAGTGATTTTAAGGGGCACCTGGGTGACTTAGTCGAGTGTCTGACTCTTGATCTTGGCTCAGATTATGATTTTACACTGTTTGTAGGATCAAGCCCTATGTCAGGCTCTGCACTGACAATGCAAAGCCTGCTTGGGATTCTCTCTCCCTCTCTCTGCCCCTCCCCCACTGGCATGCATACTCTCTCTCTCAAAATAAACAAACTTCAGAAAAAATAATAGGGATGCCTGGGTGGCGCAGTTGGTTGAGCATCTGACTTTGGCTTGAGTCATGATCTCATGGTTCATGGGTTCAAGCCCTTCATTAGGCTCTGTGCTGACAGTGCACAGCCTGGAGCCTGCTTCAGATTCTGTGTCTCCCTGTCTCTGCCCCTCTCCCATTCGGGCTCTGTCTCTCTCTCTCTCTCTCTCTCTCTCTCTCTCTCTCTCTCTCAAAAGTAGATAAACATTAATAATAATAAAGTGATTCTAACTTGGGAGATATCTCAAGTCTAAAGCAGACAATTAAGTGTTGAATTACCAAATGTCATCTTTTTTATAGCATTATAAATTGAGATATCTGCTAAAATAGGCTAAATTACTATTTTAAAGATTGGGTAAATATGGGTGCTCGGGTGGCTGAGTCAGTTGAACATCTGACTCTTGATTTCGGCTCAGGTTGTGATCCCAGGGTTGTGGCTTCAAGCCCTTTGTCAGGCTCTTCACTGAGCGTAGAACATCTTCAGATTCTCCCTCCTCCTCCCTCTCTCCTTTCCTCCTCCTCTCCCTCCTCCTCCCTCTCGCCCTCCTTCTCTCCCTCTACCCCACTCCCCTGCTAATGCTCTCTCTTTTTCTCTAAAATAAAAAAATTCTTTAAAGATTAGGTAAATAATTCCCCAAATTTTTACCTAACAAAAATGACAGTCTCCTTTATGTTGCTTGAGATAGATATGAACTTTTTATGTGTCTCCCTGGCCATCTTTCTACTCAGTACTTTCCTTTCTCTGCCAAACTGGTTAAAGAAGAAACATAAAATTAACATGGTGGAAAGGAACTTAAGCATCTTTAAGGCCATGACTCACCGGTGTTATAAAATTGAGAAAGCCAGTGCTGAGAAATTTTAAGAGAACTCTTTGGATAATATTAGATTTGGGGTGTAGATGAAAGATCTGTTTTTAGACTAATGCTGATTTAGCATCTTACACAGGACTGATGTAAGGAGTTTTATACCCATTACTGCAAAACTAAGCTTCGTGACCTTGGGCGAATATCTTCATCACTTTGGCCTGTTATATACATAATGTAAGATCAGACAATTCCAAGATCTTTTTTGGTTCTAGAATTCAAGCATTTTAACATAATACATACATTTTACTGTTTGTCTTTTGCCTGCCAGGGAGAAGTTATACACTGGTTGGCATGTTCGTTATATGTTGCATGCCGCAAAAGCATTATTCCTACTGTTGGGAAGGGTATCATGGAAGGAAATTGTGTTTCACTTACCAGAATACTACGTTCAGCTAAATTAAGGTAAAGCACTTTGATTTTTCAAACACTGTTTTATAAGTCCTAAATTTAGCTTTAGGATTTAATTTCTGTTTAACTCTATTCCATTTTAAGTTTGTTATCCTATAGGTCTCCTTTTCCAATTCTCACATTATTCCATTGCCCCTTTTCCTCAAATTCTGACTTCAGAGGTCTCTGTACTAAATCTTTTTTATCTGTAGCTTTTTTTATTAATTTTTTTAAATTTGGAGACAATTTCAAGCTTTCAGAAAAGTTGCAAAAATAAGCAAAGTAGAAAGAACACCCATATACCCTTGACCCAAATTCACCTATTGACATTTTACTCCATTTGCTTTGTCATTTGATCTTTCTCAAATAGTTTTTCCTCAACTATTTCAAAGTAAGTAACATACATTATAGCCCTTTGCCCCTAAATAGTTCAGTGTATAAACTTAGATAACTACAACAGTTATCAACTTCAGCAAAGTTAACATTGATATAATAATTTAATCTATTATCTCTATTCTAGTTTTATTAGTTGATCCAATAATGGTCTTTATAGCAGCTTTTTAAAAGAACAGTTTCCAATCTAGGATCAGTTATTACATTCACTTACCATGTCTGTTTAGTTTCCTTTAATCAGGAATGTTTCCACAGCAAGAATATAGTCCACAACCACCTTACCCCCCACTTTAAAAAAAAAAATTTTTTTTTAATGTTTATTTTTGAGAGAGAGAAAGACAAAGTGCCAGTAGGGGAGGGGCAGAGAGAGAGAGGGAGACGTAGGGTCTGAGTAGGCTCCAGGCTTGGAGCTGTCAGTACAGAGCCTGTTGTGGGTCTCAAACTCATGAACTATGAGATCATGACCTGAGCTGAAGTTAGATGCTTAACCAACTGGAGCCACCCAGGCACCCCAATTACCTCCTCCTTTTTAGTAGATTACTCCTCATTTTGGATTTGTCTCATATTTTCTTATACTTAGAAGCAAGTTACATATCCCCAGATAGAAAACTACATAAGTAGTTTTGTGTCTTCACTATATTACATCTGGAGGCACGATATCCACCTGCTTCTCTTTGGTGATGTTAATTTTGATTATCTGCTTAAGGTGTTGTCTTGTTTTTCTACTGTATAGTTAGTATTTTTTACCTTGCAACAGGTAAGCAATCAGAAGGTCTTGGCTATAGCTTTTACTTGCTCTAGTATTAATCATGTGGAACTATTTGCCTGGATACAAAACAAAAGAAATGGAGTGAACCAGACATAGGTGGTAGTGTTCTCAATTTCTGGGATTTTCTACCCATGACAAGACTACTTGAGGTTGTTGTCTATTTGCTGTCATGTGTTTCCAGCATGGAAGAGAAACAAACTTTGAAAGACCTATCCAGGGAGAGCAATTAGGTTTCAATTCATGCTAAATTAAAAACCAAAATTTTTTTTTCTCAGAACAATTTTAGTTTTCATAAGTGGAAAAATAGTACATTAAAGACAAAATTTTTCCCTGAAGGCAGTTTTTAAAACTTTAATAGGTATCAATTTTTGTCATTAGTGATAAAAATAAAATGAAAGTATAATTAAGATTGAATTCACATAATTTTTTTAATTGAGCAGAAATTCCCTCTTCATTGCAATATAAAATAATCTGACTTTTCTATCAGTGTTTCTCATTATTGACCATATAAAAATTTTTAAATATTTAGAATATTAGGTTGTTGGGGAAACTGGACCAAAAAGAAGAACTTAAGATTTAGAGCAGTGTAAGTATATGGTAAAAATTTCAAATAATGAAAGCATTCTGGAGATGTATGGTGGTGATGGTTGCACGTTGGGAATATACTTAATGTACACTTAAAAATGGTTAAAATGGTAAGTTTTCTGTTATGTATACTTTTACCATCATTTTTTAAAAGGTTCACAAATTTTCAAATAATACAGAAAGTTTAAAAATGTAAAGATATCTCTTTCTTTTTTTTCCTCATTCCCCAGAATTAACCACTTAAACAATTTACTGTTAATAAATTATTAAACAGAAAAAAAAGCCTGTTTTTTAGTGTTTTGGTTGTTTTTTAAAACATAAATGCGATCCTACTATATGTATTGTTTTGCAGTTGCTTTTCTTAATATTCTGGTAATCCTTCCATATCACCATAAGTAGCTCTTCCTTACTCTAGGATTTAGGGTGTAAGGATGTTTCATATAGTTAGCCAACCCCTTATCAATGACCATTTAGGTTGTATCCAGTTCTTTGTGATAATACACAGCTGAACATCATTGTGAAAATGTATTTCCGCTAAATTTCTAAAAATGTAGTGAAGGGTCAAAAGATACTAGTTTTTTAAATGTAGATTGATATAAATTAAAAAAAAAAATTTTTTTTAATGTTTATTTTTGAGAGAGAGTGAGCAGGGGAGGGGCAGAGAGAGAGGGAGATAGAGAATTCAAAGCAGGCAAAGCCTGTCAGCACAAAGCCCAGTGTGGGGCTTGAACCAACCAAACTTGAGATGATGACCTGAGCCAAAATCGGGCACTCAACCAACTGAGCCACCCAGGTGCCCCTGATATAAATTTTTTCAGGTGTCAGATTCTGAACTACTAAAAGAGCATAGACCAGCTTCATCATGTTCAGACAAATAAAAAAGAATTACAAGTGATGTTATTATTTACATTGATTTATAATAATTTGGGCTATTTTCACAATTTGAACTTTAAGGATAATTTTAAATGATTAAATATGTATTTTTTTTAATGTTTATTTATTTTGGTCATGGGGGAGAGAATCCCAAGTAGGCTCTGCACAGAGCCCTACATGGGGCTTGGTCCCACGAACCATGAGATCATGACCTGAGCCAAAGCCAAGAGTCAGACATTTAACTGACTGAGCCACCCAGGTGCCCCTGATTATTCTCATCAAATATTGCTGATAAATCATACTGCAAAATACTGTGCAAATTTAGATTCTAGATGTACATGTAAAACTAGAAAATTTTTATTGAGAAATTACCTGTATGGTAGACACTTACTATATACTAAGGGTTTGTATTTTTTTATTCAGTTAATCCTCACAGTTAATCCCATGAAATGAATCTCATTTTACAGATAAGGAAACCAAGTCACCAAGAACTTAAATTACTTCCCAAAGGTTACACCCCTAGTAAGTGGCGGAGCCTCCCAAGTCCATGTTGTATTACATATGCATCCACCCACAAATATTAGTATGTTTGTTTTGAAATGTATTTATATATTCAGCCTCAGTTTGTGAAAAAACTTAACCAAAGCAACTTTCAACTTAAAATGAGTTCCAACTAAAAATTTGTTTGGCTATTAAGTGTAATATTAAAAAATAGTTACTGTTATGTAATTTGAATTTTTATTATTTTGTCTGCATCTTATTGTATTAAGTATTGAGAAGTAATTTTTCCACATTTTTCACAAGTTTTTCAATAACTTGCGATTTAAATCAAGATGACATTCATTATTTTCATGTTATAATAGAACCTGAATGAATATTTAGTTCATGAAAATTTTTTTTCATAATTTTAATTGGAACATTGATGATGTTAACTTTTTACACAATAGTTTCTTTTTTATTTTTTGAGTGCCAGTAAAATTCAGTAGTGTGCTGCTATTGGGACGTATGCCCCATGTTTACCATCCCTACTCTATATTTGTTTTAGGGTGTGTGTGTGTGTGTGTGTGTGGTAAAATCTACATAACAAAATTTACCACATAACCAATTTTAAGTGAATATAGTTTGGTGGCATTAAATACATTTACATTGTGCAACCATCACCACTATCCATCTCCAGAACTTTTTCAGTTTCCCAAGTTGAAACTCTGTAACAATTAAACAACAACTTCCTTCTTCTCCCTCCTCCTAGCCCTTGGCATATATCAGCACTTCATTCCTTTTTATGTCTGAATAATATTTACGTTGCATGGATATATCACATTGTGTTTATCCACTTATTAGTTGATGGATACTTGAGTTCTTTGTACCTTTTGGCTAGTATGAATAATGCTGCTATGAACAGTTGTGTACAACTTTTGGAGACATATATTCATTTGGGGGGTGGTGTATATGTATGAATGGAATTGTTGGATCATATGGGAATTCTTTGTTTAACCTTTTGAGAAACTGTCAAGATTGTTTTCCAAAGTGCACGAGTTTACATTCCCACCAGCAGAGCTTGAGGGTTCCGTTTTACCACTACCCTTGCCAATACTTGTTATTATTTGTCTTTTTTATTATGGCATTCTAGTAGGCATGAAATGGTATCTTGCATTTCCCTGATGGCCAGTGATGTGGAGTTTCTTTTCATGTGCTTTTTGGAATAATGTTTTCTTTACAACAGAATCCCAATGAACAGGATAGTTTTGAAAGCTGTCAAGTTTACTTTGCTTCTTATTTTAGTTTTAAAAATCATAATCCTAGTTTAAGTAATAACAATGCTGTAAGGTTTTTTTTTTGTTTGTTTGTTTTCAAACATTTGATGTACTTTGTTCCACGATAGAACAGCCATTTTGGGGGTAACAGTAAATACAGTGGATTTATATGGGGATGTGTTAGTCAAGCCCCTTGTTTATAAAAAAAAAACAGATACCAACTACCAACTTTGGCTAACTTAAGGAGAAGAGAAATTTACTGAAAGGATATTGAATAGCCGACAAAGTCTTTAGAATGACTTGAAAAAATAGACTTGGAAAATGTCCAGGAACCAAAGGAGCCTAGCTATAGCGAAAAGCATATCACAAAAATTTATCTAACAAGGACATGACTTGCATGATCATCAGTACCATCCCTGGACATTGCGACTGTATTTGCCCCTAAGAGCTAATTGATTGTAAGAATTAATCAGTTGTTGTGTTCTCTGCGCCACCAGCTCCATATTCAAAATCCCAAACATATATCAAAGACCTCAGGTTTTATGCCTTCACCCTAACTTCCAGTGAAGGTGATCTATCTAGCAGATGGCAAGACTCAAAATTGGGGAATTCCTCAAACAAAGGAAAGGATTTCACATGCTGAGCATCCCTGCCTCCCCAAACAAAGTCTCCTACAAGAGACTATAATCTGTCAGCCCAAATAAATATTTAGCAACCTGGCAATAATGTTTTTGGCTATTGTTTATAATCTTTTTTAAAATATTTATTTAATTTTGAGAGACAGAGAGAGAAAGCCAAGGAAAGGCTGAGAGAGAGGGAGAGAGAGAATCACAAGCAGATTCCAAGCTGTCAGCACAGAGCCTGACACAGGCTCAGACTCACAAACCATGAGATCATGACCTGAGCTGAGATCAAGAGTCAGTCGCTTAAGCGTCCAACTTCGGCTCAGGTCATGATCTCACGGTTCGTTGGTTCGAGCCCCAGTCAGGCTCTGTGCTAACAGCTCAGAGCCTGGAGCCTGCTTCAGATTCAGTGTCTCCCTCTCTCTCTGCCCCTCTCCCACTCACACTCTGTGTCTCTCTCTCTCTGTCTCTCAAAAATAAAGAGTAAAAAAAAAATTTGTAAAAAAAGACTCTTAGAGTCTCAGATTTCAGTCAGCATATCTGGAGTTTGAGTACCTGTGGACAATTAGCTGATGATGTCTTCTATCAACTTTTTTTTTTTTTAATGTGACATTCCAGGGGCACCTGGGTGACTCAGTCAGTTGAGCATCGGACTTAGCTTCAGGTCATGGTCTCACGGTTTGTGGGTTCGAGCCCTGCATTGGTCTCTGTGCTGGCAACTCAGAGCCTGAAGCCTGCTTCAGATTCTGTGTCTCCCTCTGCCTCTCCCCATTCGGGCTCTCTTGTCTCAAAAAAAGCTAAATAGCATTTAAAAAAATTGTTCTAGTATCATTCAGGGGCCCCTGGGTGGCTCAGTCAGTAAAATGCAACTCTGATCCTGGGGTTGTGAGTTCAAGCCCCACGCAGTGAAGAGATTACTTTTAAAATCTTTATAAAAAAAGATTCTGTATATAGTGCTAGACACTTAAATGGACTTTAGCACTACATATTTTCAATCTAAGACCATACGGGGACATAAAAAATGTACCCATAATTGAATAAGCCAGAAAGGTGGAGTAATAATCATTAAGTGATTTTCTGATATACCTACCTTCTTCGCTTATATTTGGTGGTAGAACCACACATTGGAACACGAACACTTGAATTTTATTCCTAAATCAGGCTGTCTGGTGCTTCAGATCAACTTCCAGAACTAATCACTTGGGAGATTATGTCTGTCCTCAAACCACTTTTGTGAACTCAACAATCTGTTGGTATTTACTCTGTAATGTATATACAAATTACTGTCTAGGTGCTGTAGGGAATAAAGAAGTAGGTAGGTGTCATTGCCTTGCTTAGAAGACATCGATAATGACCATAATCCAAAATCTACATTCCTATAGTGATTCTGGGAGTCAGAGTACTTCATAGCACTTGGGAGCCAGATTTTTTGTCATTTTTTTTTTTGTTTTTTTTTTTTTTTTTTTTTTGATAAATTTAAATAAAGATTTGTAATGTTTCTGGGCATGAAGGCCTGTTAACTGAATTTCAGCCAGGTCAATGCATCTCGCCGGCCCTGAGTTCGAGTTCTGTCAGGCTCTGGGCTGATGGCCTCAGAGCCCGGAGCCTGCTCATCTCTGTGTCTCCCTCTCTGCCCTCCCTGCTCATGCTCTGTCTCTCTCTCTGTCCCCAAAAAATAAAACAACTGAAAAAAATTTAAAAAAATAAATAAATAAATAAATAAATAAAGATTTGTAGGCGTAAATAAAATGTTAACTTGTCCATTGTATGGACTCCTTTTAAAGTTGCTTTTTTTTAATTTGTTTAGCTTAATACAGTTTTTTAATAAAATGAAGAAGTGGATGGACATGTCAAACCTGCCACAAGAATTTCGTGAACGTATAGAAAGGCTAGAAAGAAATTTTGAGGTGTCTACTGTAATTTTCAAAAAATTTGAGCCAATTTTTTTAGATATATTTCAAAATCCATATGAAGAGCTACCAAGGTTACCACGAAGCAGGAAGCAGAGGTGAGAACCTTAATCGTTATATAATTGATATTAAAAAAACATAAAGCTTAGGAAATTTGCATTTTTAAAGTCTGCTTTTTACCATAAGAATCCATTTGTGGAAAAAAATTTTTAAAAACCCATTTATAATTACCATATCTGGAAATTCAGGGTAATACTTATTTTTTTATGTTCTGATTATTTTGTGCAGACTAAAAAGGCTTATTTAAGTCCATTTAATGGACTGTAAATTGTCCTTTGTGAATGGAATTTTACATGTAATTTGACTTTCTAGTTATTTATATTTGCTATTTCAATTTAAATGACAAATGTGGAGTGATATTTAGCAAATTAGTCAATTAAAAAGTACATTTTTTCTTTCTAGGAGGATTCCTTGCAGTGTTAAGGATCTCTTTAATTTCTGTTGGACCCTCTTTGTTTATACTAAGGGTAAGGTGATACTTTCAGTGGTTTTACATTTCTACTGTGGGAACTGGTTATTTGACATGAGAGGTTTCTGGTCTTCGTGTCTTTTTTTTTTTTTCTTATAAAGGTAATTTTCGTATGATTGGAGATGATTTAGTAAACTCTTACCATTTACTTCTGTGCTGCTTGGATCTGATTTTTGCCAATGCCATTATATGCCCAAATAGACGAGATTTGTTAAACCCATCATTTAAAGGTAATAACCTTATTTATTTTTAAAAATTCGTCATTAGTTTTTAGAAAAAGTTTTGAAAGTTGACCATATTCTTCTTCCCCCTCTTTTGCTCTTCATACCCTATCAAAATAGGTTTACCATCTGATTTCCATACTGCTGACTTTAGGGCTTCTGAAGAACCTCCCTGCATCATTGCTGTACTGTGTGAACTGCATGATGGACTTCTAGTAGAAGCAAAAGGAATAAAGGAGCACTACTTTAAGCCATATATTTCAAAACTCTTTGACAGAAAGGTACTGTACTTATAAGTGAATGGCTAAGATTTTTAAGGGTCAGTAGCAGAAGCCTCAAAGGCAAAAACAAGGCTTTAAGCAAGTTCTCAGTGTTACAGGACTCAAGGTCAAGATTATCAGGGTTCAGTCTCTGCTGTGTTGTAGAATGCTGTGGTGCAGAATTGCCCTATGATCTTTTGTGGTGTGCAAACTGAGCTGTTAAAGACTGTGACCAACTGTATGTACTGTCAAGTAAATTCATAGGCAGAGGCAGCTGTAAGAGGCTCTGATAAAAGAATTACGAAGAACAGAACGTAAAAAGCAGGAGGTCAGAGTAAACTAATTTACTGCCAAAATTTGAGTAACTGCTGAGTATTTTCTAAAGGTGGGATGATCTATAACAACTATAGCTTTAATTCCATATAAATAGAGCAGGAAATCCGTTATAGTTTTGTAGCTGCTTACAGGCTATCTGCATGCATTCTGGGTTTTCCTCTAGGTAATTCACTTAGCTATTTCTGTATTTATGAAATGGCTTATTCCTCTTGGTCTCAGTGTCTTCCCAAACATTGAGCCATTTAATCCAGCTAGTCCTTGAGTTTTCTCTTTGGTGAAAAAGGGTTTTAAATTAGGTCATCACTGTGGTACCCCTCTTTGTAGATATTATGAGATTTTTCTTTAAGCATAAAGTCTTTCCTACATGGTGGCTCTTCTTTTACACAAACTTTTGTATTTAGTGTTATCTTTCTTCCAGTGTGTGTGTGTGTGTGTGTGTGTGTGTGTGTGTGTGTGAGAGAGAGAGAGAGAGAGAGAGAGAGAGAGAGAGAGAGAGAGAGTGTCGTGGCTCCTTATCTGTATGTTAAACATCTCCAGCAAAGTAAACTTTGACAGGAACTCAAGGATTATGTCTTTTGTGCTCTGCAGCAGCAGCATACTAGTAGCTCTAAGGTTTAATGACCATACATCTTGGTTTGCCTGGATTATCTAGTTTTGGGGTGTTGTCTTGGCATAATTATTATAGGACTTCATTTCACTCCTGAAGTATCCTGATTTGGACAATTGTCCTGCTCTTGGGCCACAGATACTTTGTTTGGCCTGTGTAGGACGTTCTTTATTTTAATTTCATTCCATTTTAATTTACATATAAAGACTTTTTATGTGACAATCTCTTTCAAAAATCAGAAGCTATGGCAAAACAGGATTGGAATATCTACATGAATTTCTACATGGGTAACTGATCAAGTTAAATGATGGCCACGTCTTTTAAGATGGGAAGTATGCTTTCTACCCTCTTCATTTATGTATGTTGAGCTTTGACCCATGAAGGCATTTGAGTTTGCAACCCTGATGTATAGTAGTCTAAGCATAGTGTGGGGTACATAGAAAATATTATAAACTGTACTTTGCTTCTCTCACCAGCAACAGTACCTATATTCCCTTTGAATCTTTTTCTTGCCTGATACATATAATCATTCAATAAATGTTAGTTTCCCTTCTCCATAGACCAGGGTTTAAAATTGAACTGCTTTTGTCAGAATCACTTGGGGAGTTTATATAAAATGCTGCCTCAGCTCAGACCTTGGGGTCCATCAATCTGCATTTTTTAGAAGTTCCCCTAAGTGCTTCTTATGTCACTAGAATTTATAAACCACTGCCATAGGCCAACTTCAAAGTATTTTCAAAATGGACTTTAAACTTTTATTTGCACACTATATAGGTTTTACTGATTTGAAAGAAATATTCAGTAATTCTCTTTTGTGTGTATATTATTTATAACAACTACCAATGTGAAAATTTAGATAAATGTCATGTTTTTGTATGTTATTGTGTTTAATTACATGTCACAAAATGACTTTTTCTTCCCAGATTTTAAAAGGAGAATGCCTCCTGGACCTTTCCAGTTTTACTGATAATAGGTAAGTATCTAACACTAATGGTATCTGCCATATTATAGGCTGTCAATAATGATTTATTGCAACTTATTAAGTGGAACATTATATCAAATTAACTCCTTCAAACTCAAGTTCCTTCTGCATTAGTGGTATTAACTAGATGTTGTTAACTAAGCCTTGTTGTCTTTAAGTACACTTATTTTAGGAAACCTTTGCCACTTAAAAGAGCTCCTTCCAGAGAAACTCATAAACAGACCCAATGACTTCTGGCAAATTCAGAATGTATATATATTCAAAGCAACTATTGTTCTCTCAATGATCAGATCTTAATTAGGTTCAGCTAGTTTTGAGATTAAGTTTATACTCTCTTTTTGCTCATCTTTCAGAGTAATTTATTATCGCTATATATGTGAATGTGAAGCATGTCCATAATCAGATAAGAACCTTCAATATTGTTAGATGGGCAGAGTTAAAAATTTGAAAGTCATCAGCTTTTCCAGGTCTTGGAGTCTAAATCTATCTTGAAGTGAAGATAAATCCATTGTGGAGATGCCTAGCTGTTTCAGTTGGTAGAGCATGCCACTGTTGATCTTGGGATCATGAGTTCAAGCCCCATGTTGAGTGTAGAGATTACTTTAATAAATAAATTTTTTTCTTAAAAAAGGTAAATCTGTGTGTAACTTAGTTTTATTCTAGCTACTTAAAATAATTCTTGGGGTGCGTGGCTGGCTCAGTCAGAAGAGCACAAGACTCTTGATCTCAGGCTTATCAGTTCGAGCCCCATGTTGGGTGTAGAGATTACTTAACAATAAAATCTTTAAAGGGGCACGTGGGTGGCTCAGTCGATTGAGTGTCTGACTTCAGCTCTGGTCATGATATCACAGTTCGTGAGTTCGAGCCCCAGACTCACTCCTGTCAGCACAGAGCCTGCTTTGGGTCCTCTGTCCTCCTCTGCGCGCGCTCTCTCTCTCTGTCTCTGTCTCTCTCTCTCAAAAATGAATAAATATTAAAATAAAATCTTTATGGGATGCCTGGGTGGCTCAGTTGGTTAAGTGTCTGATTTCAGCTCAGGTCATGATCTCACAGTTCATGGGTTCAAGCCCCACATCAGGCTCTGTGGTGACAGCTCAGAGCCTGGAGCCTGCTTCGGATTCTGTGTCTCCCTCTCTCTCTGCCCCTCCCCCACTCGTGCTCTGTCTCTTCTCTCTCTCAAATAAACATTAAAAAAAAAAATTTTTTTTTAGTAAAATCTTTAAAGGGGCATCTGGGTGGCCAGCGGGTTAAGTAAGCATCCAACTCTTGATCTCAGCTCAGGTCATGATCCTTTCTCTCTTTCTCTCTCTCAAAATAAATAAACTTTAAAAAAAATAATTTAAAAAAATCTTTAAAAGTAAATAAAATAATTCTCTTTTCAGCAAAGCAGTGAACAAGGAGTATGAAGAATATGTTTTAACTGTTGGTGATTTTGATGAGAGGATCTTTTTGGGAGCAGATGCAGAAGAGGAAATTGGAACGCCTCGAAAGTTCACTGGTGATGCCCCATTAGGGAAACTGACAGCACAGGCTAATGTGGACTGTAATCTTCAACAACACTTTGAAAAAGTAATATAACTTAGCCTGGCCTCAGTCTTGAATGATCTTTTTCTCTCTGTGTTTGATTCTACTAACAACAAACACATCTTTCAAGTTAAATCTTGAGTTTCTTCTACTAATATATATTTTCCATGAAAGCCTTAAAAGGTAATTTTTAAAAGTGGCATTTAGGGGGCACCTGGGCAGCTCAGTCAGTTAAGCATCTGACTTTGTCTCAGGTCGTGATCTCACAGCTTGTGGGTTCGAGCCCCACGTCGGGCTCTGTGCTGACAGCTCAGAGCCTGGAGCCTACTTTGGATTCTCTCTCTCTTTCTCTCTCTCTCTCTCCCCCTCCCTCTCTATCCCTCTCCCTCTCCCTCCCTCTCTCCCTCTACCCCTCCCTCCCTCTCTCTCCACCTCCCCCTCTCACACTCTGTCTCTCTCTGTCTCTCAAAAAATAAATAAACATTAAAGAAAATTAAAAGTGGCATTTAGTATTACCTCATTTCTTGATGCTTTTCATATTTTTGATGTATTTTCCCAGAATGCCTGGACTTTTCAGTAGGGTGTGTGTCTTTTGACATAAAGAAGGGTTTATGCTTTCTTATCATTCTTTGCATCACTTTAGCCACTTGCTTTAAAATTTAGTTTCCTTCTACCCATGACAAACTATGTGCTTTCCCTGAACTTTAGCCATACAACTCTTGGCTTGATTGTGAATAGTGAAGGCTTAATTCTGTATTTATGTGTAAAATGGGTTGGAGAATGAGGTCTAATGGAAAATTTACTGGTCTAGAAGGTAGAAAACCTGTTTTAGACCAAGCCTCTTCCATTAACTTTATCAGCTTCAACAGTTTTTTAAACTTTTCTGTGCTTGTTTCATATGTAAAGTGAAAATGTGTATATTTCAAATGAGTATTATGATAAAATGAGATAATAAGTAGTAAGTACTTTGAAAAAGTGTTTTTTTGAATGTGAGGATATTATTAGCATTATATTGTTAAAAATTTGGTGGATAACCAGAGGAGGGAGGAAAAAAGTACTACTAAATATGAATAGAGAAGGTGATACATACACTGAATTAAACACATAATGAGGGCAAGGTAACTTTTTAATCTTTTTAAACTTTTTAAAAGATTTTTCTTTTTTGACAGAAAACATCATTTGCACCTTCTACCCCACTGACAGGACGGCGATATTTACAAGAAAAAGAAGCAGTCATTACTCCTGTTGCTTCAGCCACTCAAAGTGTGAGCCGGTTACAGAGTATTGTGGCTGGACTGAAAAATGCACCAAGTGAACAACTTATGAATATTTTTGAGTAAGTATAATATTATCTTTCTAAATAAATTTTAATTACAAGGTATGTTGACCTAAAATCAGATGGAAGTACCTATTAAAGTTACACAGAGATATTATTTCATAATATTATAGACCTTAAAGTTTAAATAACCTCTTAAGGTTATTTAGCCCTGACATCCCACTCTTATATCTACCCCTAAGTTATGCATTAATAAGTTTTCTTCTTACATTGACTTTAAATGGGTTCAGTCTAAATGTTCATCAAGTGGGAGACTGAATACATATTGATGGTGCAGCAGTAAATGGAATTTTAATGCAGTTGCTTAAGATAAAGAGGCATGTGTCCTAGTAAAGATGGTAAATAGAAGCCAGATCAGAGAACTTTCTTTCCTAATACTTAGTGAAATAAGAGAATAGTAAAAACCAGCAAACTACTTACTAGCAGCAACTAAATGAGAGGGATATGATTTCATGCTATAAATTTCCAAAATGATGATAAGGAAAGGAATGGACGGTTCTTATATGCCCATCTCTAAGAAGCATTACTAGGGAAAGAAGATATGTTGATGGATCTTGAGAATGTTTGTTAATACCCCAGATGTAGAGAGAAACAAATGGGGTTAGCAGGAAAATGAGTAAAAGGTCATAGATACCTCCCAGGTGAAAGCCCCTATATTCCACCACCAAGATCGCAGCAGAAATATGAAAAACTCCCAGGGCCTGTCCTTTTCCAAGGTTCCATACCGATTTGGGTGAGATCCTAATCCTAATAGAACTAGAAGATATCTCTGACTAGATATAGTGAACCCTGGAATAGGGATATTTAACTAAATTTCAGAAGAGTAATAAGCAAAGCCCTGATCTTCTAACAAAAGCTGAACATAACACCACCTGAGCTCTCTTCTACTCCCCAAACCTTTAGTTTACAGAAAAGTAGACAGAACAATCCTAACCTCAGACACAGCTCAAAAGATATGCAGACTGCTGATAGGGTGGGAAGACTGTCATGGAGAGCTTCAATCCTCATAGCACTTGAATAAAATAGATCTGGACTAAACTGTGTAAGCATGAACAAGTTGAAAAGAAGTGTCAAGGTAATGATGCAAACATTTTATAGCAACAAGAGAAAGTGGGAAGCAAGAAAACATAGTATGCAAAACACAAAGGACCTAGAAACAAATAAATGGGAAGACATTCCATGTTCATGGATGGGAAGATTTAATATTGTTAAAATGTCCTTATTACCCAAAATAATCTGTAGATTCAGTACAGTCCATATCAAAATGCCTGTGGCATTGTTTATAGAAATAGAAAAAAAAATTCCTATAATTTCATGTAGAATTTCAAAATACCTTTAAAACAATAAAGCAAGAACAACAAAGCTGGAATGCTTCCTGACTTCAAAATATATTGCAAAGCTACCATAGTCAAAACAGAATTGGATTGACATAAAGACAGGCTTGTAGACCAATAGAACAGACTAGAGAATGCTAAAATAAATCTTCATGTATTTGGTTAAATGATCCTTGACAAAGGTGCCAAGACTACGTTATGGGGAAAGGATAGTCTCTTCAACAAATGCTGCTGGGAAAACTAGATGTCTACATGCAAAATAATGAAGGTGGATCTTATCTTACGCCATATCCAACAGTTAACTCAAAAAGTTAACTTAAAAAACTAGACATGAGGGGCACCTGGGTGGCTCAGTTGGTTAATCATCCAACTCTTGATTTTGGCTCAGGTCATAATCTCACAGTTCATGGAATTCTCTCTCCCTCTCTCTCTGCAGCCCCCCCCCCCAAAATAAATAAATAAACTTTAGAAAAATAGTTAAAAAAAATTAAAGACAGCCTAATTGGAAGAAAACATTACTCAAGAGGCACAGCTTGCATTAGAAGAACTTGATAAAAACAAAGTATTTTTGCCATATGTGTTGCTTACCTCTCTACACATCATACTGGTCTGTTTGGACATGGAGTTGGGAGTCCTGAACACTGCACTCATTATCTGGTTTCAGGCAGATCACTTTCTTTCTCATAGTCTGGATTTGTTTTTCATTTCTTTTTTTTTCCTAATGTTTATTTATTTTTGATTGAGAG